TCTCTTTCTCTTTCTCTTTCTCTTTCTCTTTCTCTTTCTCTCTCTCTCTCTCTATCTCTCTCTCTCTCTCTCTGGCAGGCATAGCCTCTAGTCACTCTAGTAAAGGACAGAACATGGAAGAGAGGTCGGGGATCCACGTTCGCGTGCCCCACCATGTTCTGCCATGCTCCCAGCAAGCACTCTCTTTCCGCGTGCCGACCCGGGGCCACAATCTGGCGATGCCCGGCTGCGATCTAGCTTGGAACTTGAAAGTATTGGGCCTATCCGTGGCCATCCTTATGTACAGCATCCAAATGCAGTCCGCGTCGAGCTGTCGAGCTGCCGGGCTGTATTGATCTTTCGGTGGCATTTCCGTGCGGCATGGCTATCGAGATGAGCAGCGCTGGAAACATCCAACATACTTGGGAGGTGTTCGCTTCAAGCACCCTCCACCATAGTCACTTCAATCAGCGATATAACATGACAAAAACATCTTCTGTTGTTCAGCAAACCTCACTATACTATGCCTGCTTCCCTCAGTTTCTTCCAGAAGCTATAAGGGGAGGGGTTAAGTCACGTCTTCATGTTTTAAGTCACATCTACTGCAAGCGAGTACGCTGCACATGTTTAAGCTTAATATTAGGGTGGTTTACAACAGGAAGATACGACTTGACTCAACAACTTGTATGTCTGGCAGTCCAGCTGGGACCTGCTCGGACCGCAGAACTGGTTCGACTCGCACTGAGACGGAGGGGCACCAGGCTCCTGCCGTGGACAGTCGGACGGCCCGGAAGCTTTGCAAAGCAAAAAGGAAGCTTTGCAAGAAGAGTGATGGTTGGAAGCCGCAAAAAAGACTGCAAACATGAGATGAAGATTCAGATGGAAAAAGCCACGTCATAGGATTATGCAGTGTGAAAACCCTAGTAAAAAACCTGCTGAAGCTCTTTAAAAGCATATGTCTGGCCAGGTTCGGTAGCCAAGTCCTTGCTCCACATTCAAACGATGACATACTTCGCCGAGCCAGTGTCCATGCCCATGGCGACTCCTTCATCGAGCGCCAAATCTCCAACTTGTGATGAACCATGGTGCACATGGATGAACCCAACCTCTTCTACCCTGCTCAAAGCTGAAGGAAAACTGGTTCGGTAGAAGGGGCTGATCATGAGTTTGATGTCTTTCTCTCCAGTCCGGACTTGACGCTGGTCGGCACCAGCACCCCCTCCAACCTCCCCGACTCTGTCTCTGTCGCGGTCCGGCGCCTTTGGACAGAGTCCGCAGCTTGGCACGGTCCAGCTGGGATGAGGAGGGGATCTTATAGTGCTCGCCCGTGTCCTGGAGGCGCCCAGACGCCGGCGGAACTCCACGGCGTGGCGTTCTCCGCGGCGTTTCAGCCGTTTGGACCCGGTTCACAAGTCACCGAGAGGACGTGGAACCGACCAGCGTGCACGTGGTGTTCGACATCGTCTCCTTCACGATGCGGTCATACCAGGTCTCAGAGTAGCCCACTTCTTCGACCTGTTGCAGGAGTTCGACTGAGAATCACTGGCTCTGGAGTGTTGTCAGGATGGATTGAACGGTGAACCGGTGCAGTTGGGATCCTTCTCTATCCTCACCACAAGTACTTGACTGCGGCAGTCAAAGGCTCTTACATTGAGACCACCTACGCAGAACGGCCACCCAACTGGCCACCCACGCCCGGTCACGGCTTCCGCTGACCCACCGAGTCGACCAGTCGCGGATCACGCGCTGCCACGCGCCTTGGGCACCACGCCGCCCTGCTGGCCGCCATGGTCTGGCGCCTCGGGGCCCTGCGACGAGATGCGGAAGCCGTCGCGGTAGCCGACCTGGACGTGGTGAACACGGTTCGGCGCGGTCTGCATCCCTAGAGAGGGGCCGAAGCCATGGGGCGGTTTTCAGAGGAGAAAGCCTTGGATGGGGCGCGGTCTCTTCGAAGGGTGTGGTGCTAGTTTTTGGTCGGTCTCTCTCTCTCCCTCTCTCCCTCCCTCCCTCCCTCCCTCCCTCCGTCCCTCCCTCCCTCCCTCTCTCTGTGCCAGCTTAAGTCTCTCGCTGCCTCAACGAGCGTATGGTGTTGTTGAAGGTGCGTTCATTGCGGTGGTGGACGCATGGCGGTTGATTGCTGTGTCCATGCTTTGACGTGTTGAAGATGTTCCACCTGGGGTTGTTCACAGGGCCAAAAGGACCGACGGCCTCTTCTTTCAACAAGGAAAGCCTCGAAGGGCTAAAGGTCTAGAAGACCCCCCCCCTGCAGGGCATGCAACTGCATGCAAATGCATCCATGCAATCATAAAGCACAAACCTGTTCACAAATTGCCCTACCGGAACACATCTAAGAGATCTTTAGAGATTTTGTTCACATCCAGCTCACCTGTCACAGCTGTCTACCCACAGAGGCTCCATGTCAAACCTTGCAGGGCGGCGGCAGACGGGATCCCGCTTTTGACCTTGACGCTGCAGCCACATTATGGCGCCACTTTCCTAGTACTGCGACGTTACATTCCCTGACGCCACATTCCCCCCTGACGCCGCATTACCCCCTGACGCCGCATTCTGGCGCCGCATTCCCTGACGCCACATTACCCCCTGACGCCACATTACCCCCTGACGCCGCATTCTTCCCTGGCGCCACATTCCTCCCCTGACGCCACATTACTCCCTGACGCCACATTTGACGCCACATTCCCGACGCCGCATCCCCCCCTGACGCCGCATTCCCCCCTGACACCGCACTCTGGCGCCGCATTCCCTGACGCCACATTGCCCCTCTGACGCCGCATTACCTCCTGACGCCACATTGTGGCGCCACATTCCCGGACGCCGCATTTGCCCGTGACGCCACATTACTCCCTGACGCCGCATTCTGGCGCCGCATTCCCTGACGCCACATGGCCCCTTTGACGCCGCATTACCCCCTGACGCCACATTGCGACGCCGCATTCCCTGACGTGACAGGACCCCGTCTGATGCTCCAAACTGCACGAAACGGTTCTTCGTAGCAGGGGCCGTTTTGACACTGTTGAAGCAGCAGGCAACCCCAACACATGTCCAAGATATGGCAGAACACACAGCGCAACAATTGGACCGGGTAACTACTATAGCCTATAGCCATAAACAACGGCTGCTGTGGAACGCAGACCATAAACATGCTACCTCCACGTACATGGCAGCACATGAAGCGGCAATCAAAGATTTCTGCTGCTATAAACTGCATCTTCAGCCATCGGCACATATCTGCTCAATCCGATCCAACATTGCCATCAGAATTCGTCTGCGGAAAGCGTCTTCGGGGTCTAATTCGTCTTCGGG